ATACACTTTTTCTACATCACTTGAGTATTCAAATAGTCCTCCCAATAGTATCGTATTCTGTCGACATGTCAGAAGTTCCCCATAACCTAGCCTCATGTGTATAAAAAGGAATACAGATACTTATTGATATTCGATTGCTGAAGCCAGCTTATGTCTCTACAGACAGGAATACATACACTTAAATTCGATGAAACCTGTTTCAAGAGATTTTTCCAGGAAAAGGGAATAGCTGAAAAAATTGATTACACACAAATTTCGAGCAGGTGTCCCCAAATTTCAAAGCATAAATATAAAAACAAAACAGAAAGTTATTTGCTGAGTCTAGAATATCATTCACGAAAAGAATCCCCTTTCTATAAAGAGACATTAAAAAGCATGGTTTTCCAACAAAACAGATTCAGACAAAGTAGTTGCTGCTTCACTTCAAGGGCATTCTCAGGGGGGCGTAGCTGGAACTTCAGCCATGCTTGGAGGACTTGTCTATACAATACACTGATTGGAGCCTTCTCTTTTATCAACACTTCAAAGTCACTAAGTGCAAGCTGACAAAGGGGAAATGTATTCGTAGTAAACAGAGGTCTAGAAAAAACAATTTAAAAAAAACACTTCAAAATTTCTATGATTTCTAGCAGTCTCTGTATAGTATCAGTAATGCTTCGCACTAATAAAACCTGTCTGTTCAAATGAAACAAGATCTGTGATGACCTTTTTTATGCTAAGGGCCATGATAGTATAGAGCTTATTCACGACGTCATCATTCCTCGTGTACCCGTGCGACGCCATTTTGGGGTCCATTATCGCTGCGAGTTTTCAACAGTTGAAATGGCCAGCAAAGTCGATTGACTTAGCTCCGTACTTGGTTCTGGATACAAGCTTTTACACGGAGGAACGGTTTCAAAGCATTCAAGAGCTTTTAAGCGTACAACTACATCGGGATGTGTAGAAAGTGCTGGAGGACAGTTGTACGTTGTAGTTTGGAAGGTTAAAAGGTCACAAAGTTGGAACAGCCCGGGGGTCAACGTCTGGATAATCA